AAACTACCACATCCCAGGGCCATACAAACTCAGCTGCCATCCACAGTGACACATCCAAATCTTTTTCAGTTTCATGTTAGCCCAGACATGAGCAAAATACCCTCCAGGGGCCGGATCCAGCCCGCCAAGCTACTGGATCCGGCCTGCAGATACAGCAGGGAGCCTCAGGCAGACTCCCCTGCTTGCCCCCAACCCCATACACTGCTCAGAAAAGTAGCTGCTGGGCTGTTTGTGTTCCATGAACTGTGAACAGGTGGGAGGAGGGGGGGGAAGTGGTGCTTCATGTGCTGCTCCTGCCCCCCACCCAGTTTCTGGCCAATGGGAGCTGCCTGTTTGAAGAACAGGCAACACGCAAAGCACCACTCCCCCTCCCCTCAGATCCTTATTCACAGAGCACATGGCCCCTGCAACCTTTGTGGGGGCAGGGCAGGCTCCTGCCTGGGAAACATGCTGGGCTGCTGACTGGGAGCCTCCTGGCCAGAGCCTGCCTCTGGCACCACAGCCCCTCCCTACCCTTCATGTAACCCAAACCCTGCCCTCAATCACAATCCCCTCCTGCCCTAGGTCACAATCCAAACCCCTGCACTATAATCCCCTGCCTTAAATCAAAACCCAAACCCCTGCACCTCCTCCTGCATGCCAGTCCCCTGCCCTAGGTAACAACCAGTGTTCCCTCTCTAAGGTGTGTGGCAGCACAGCTTCACAGATGATTAATCAGCCCCACCCAGTCAGAGTCTCAGGGCTCTATGCACACAGCTGACTGACTGGGTGGGGCTGATTAATCACCTGTGCTGTTGCACAGCTTAGAGGGAACACTGGTCACAACCCCCTCCTGCCCTGGGTGACAACCCAAATCCCTGTACCCCAATCAAGGTCACAACAGCCTCCTTCACCCAAATTACCTCCCAGACCTCAGAGGCCCTCCTGCTTCCGAATCCCCATGCCCCAGGGGTGGCCAAGACAGCTTCATAGGTCTGATCCGCCCACCAAGCCAGTTGATCCACCCACAGTTGCTCTGCTGCTCCCCCACCCTCAACCCATTGGAGACTTGGGGACAGGGGAGCATGTGAAGTGTCCTCCCCCAGCAGGGGTGTGTGGCACCAAAGAGAGCTGCCAGCTGTTCAAAACAGCTGGTGGTTCTCTCTAGGCACTGGGGGGCCAGCGGACAAAGACTTCACACACTCCACCCACCTCTGGGCCAATCAGGATCTTTTGCCAGGGGAGCACTGGAAGGCTCCTGGCCCCGCCCCTTCCGCCTGAGGCCCAACCCCTTATGGGACAGCCTATCATCACTAGAAATCTGTGAAGCGGCCCCCCCTCTCCATAGTCTCTGGCCTTGTCGGCTGCTGGCCGGCTCCCTTGCCCCTCCTGGCCATGGTGTTTGGGAGGGAAAGTGCCCCCTATTCATCATCTATGCCTAATACTGCCACGAAAAGAGGGGCAGGGAATGAACAAAGTTCTAGCCCCGCCACCTGACTCCTACCCCACACTATAACATCTGGCAGAGCTGCCCTGATGCAGAGGGGAGCATATGCTGCCCCCTCTTAAGGCACAGTAAGGATGCAGCATGCTTCCCTTATGCATTGGCAACCACTGAGCCTCTCTGAGGCGCAGTGCTTCCCAGAGCACCTCTTGGGTGTGTTGAGTAGCTATCATTGTTGTAGAGCAGCTGTTCTCAAAATGTGAGGTGGAACCCCAAAGTGGGTCATAACCCCCTCTGAATGGGGTCGCCAGGGCTGGCTTGTTTGGCCCAGAGTTGAAGCCTGAGCACCTCAGCCCAGGGCCAAAGCCACAGGCTGAGGGCTTCAGCCCTAGGCAGCAGGGCTCAAGGTTGCAGGCCTCCTGCCTGGGGCTCAAGCCCTTGAGCTTCAACTTTGGACCCCGTGCTCGGAGCAATGGGCTTTGGGCTTCCCCACCTCTCGCCCCACACAGTGCGGCTCAGGTGGGCTCAGGCGTTGGTCCCCTCTAGTGGGGTTGTGAATCAATTTTACTTGTCACAAGGGGGTCACAGTGCAATGAAGTTTGAGAACCCCTCTTGTAAAGGCATGTGGCTGCAGAGCCCAAAGATCATCCTTCATTGAAGAAGGTGGGGTTCAGGGCTGTGGGGAAGAGAACAGACTGTGGCTCTTACAGCATCTCTCATAGCTGTACAATGTAGTGTTTGAATAAAAATAATTTAGTTGTAATTGCAAACTCTTCAGGGCTCAATAATAAGGCCAACACACTTGAATGCTGTATCTCAACACTACCTCCAAGGAGACCAGGGCAAACTGGGCACAGTCTGGCTTCTGACATGTTGCAGTCAATTAATTCCGCATGTTTCCTTTCCTTTAGTTCCTGACAAGCCTGACTTTAAACACAATTGAAGCAAAGCAGCCACTTGAGATGCTGTTCATTAGAAGGCTGCGATTGCAACTCTAGAAAGAGGACCCTGTCTAAAAGGCATGCTGTGGTTCCACCATCACCCTACCCCCCCCCCCCCAAAAGGTCTGCAAAGTCCCTTTAGGTGTTGATCACTAGCAACCCTACCCTACTGCAGCATTTCCTGCTGCATTTATCAGAGCTGGTTATCATTCTAGGGGGATGATCAGAGATGCAGAGTCTTCCACAGAATCCTCTTGTTCTCAAATCACAGGGTGCGAATCACAACTTTTAAAAAAAACAATTTGCAAATGTAATTGTGATGCACCACAGATTTTAAATTCCATTTCTCTGCAAAGACTGATGTAAAAATAGCCCATACTGCCTCCTCACGTTAGCAGGAACAGGCTAATGCAGCAGAGGTGTTTATCTCAAGCCCCAGAAAGGAGGGCAACTAATCATGCTGGTTGGGAGCATTTTATTCAGCCAGCAGCCTGAACAGCACTGGCACCAACTGAAGCCAAATTGTCTGCTTTCCTGGACAGAAAGTTTTTGGGAATGGAACTGTGACAGCCAAGTTATGAGAGGCAAGCGAAATTAGAGACACCATAACAAAGACGGTCAGAGAATTATCATATTGCATCACTTGAGACTGAACAGTTTTTGTATCTCGCTCTGCCACAAGTTAGCTAAAGCAACCCCCAACTGCAGTTCTTGGTTAAACAATATCCTATTTTGCACTTATGAGTTACGTAAGAGCAAATCCTGTCACATGGACGGGGTGAAGCAAAGAAAGGCCATTATTCACAGCCCGATATAGATGAATCCTGTTTAACACAAGCACTTAGAAAACACTGTCCTCTCTGTTTGACAATATTATTGAACATTCAATTAATTTTGATAACCCTTCCTTCTACATCTACTCTGCTGTAGATAGCATAACTGGGGACCTGACTGATGCCTTCTGTAGGGATCAGTGCCATGCCTAGTAGTAGCTCCTGCCTTTCCAGATTCTGGAAGGCAAACCTCTCCCTCCTTTCTCTCCCATTTCCCTCTTAATTTTATAGGGAAGGAAAATAAAGTTTACCTTCCAGAAATTGCCTAACATTATCTTGTGCATCATTGATAGGTGAATTAGTTATGGTCACAGAGAGGACACCAGTGTTAGAACTGGGATTAGAACTCAGGAATAATTGATCACAGGCCATGTCTGTGTGTTTCCTGGGCTTGACTTCAGTATTGCATAAAATCTTGCAGGGGGTGGGGGTAAGGGTGAGTCCTAATTGTTTAACCAGAATATGAATTCTAGAATTTATTTTTCTTCTACTATGTATTTTAGAGTGTTTTGGAGTCTGCCTGTGAGTCTGTTTGTTCAGGAACTCTTCCTAAACGGTAAGAGCTAGGATCACCTAATTTAATATGCCGCTTCCTCTTATAACTTAAAGCAAGGTCAGGGTTTTGGTTGTGCCAGGACAATTGGATGTGCATGGAATGTGACCATTTTGCATCAAGCGGAAGGGGAGAGGTGTGAGAGCAGGGACAGTTACACACACAAATGACCACAGGGGGGCAGCAAGCATGGGAGACAGTTATACTCGAGAAAGACCACAGAAGGGCAGCAAGCACCCCAGCCCCGGACGCAGTTGCTGGCCAGCAGCATGACCTCAGCCTCCCCATTGCCCCGGAGAGAAGCCAAAGAGCAGCCTGCACCCCCCGTCTCCCAGCTTAGCACCAGAGAGAAGCCAGTGGGTGGCATGGCGCCACTCTCCCCATCCCAGGCTGGCCCTATGAAGAAGAAGATGGGTGGTTCCCCCTGCCCCCACCCTGCCAGAGGGCAGCCTGCATGGCCTCCCTCCCAACCCAGGCTGGCCTGAGAAGAAGGTGGCAGGTAGCCTGCACAGCCCCTGACCCAGCCCCAGGTAAAAGCCGGCAGGCAACCTGCACCCTGCACCCCACTTCTGCCCTGGGCCAGCCCCAGTGAGAAGCCTTCGGGCAGGCTATGTGGTCCCCACTGCCTGGGACCTTGGCAACACCATGTAATTCATCAAGTTACATAAATAATTACATAATAAAGCAGAAAAATTATTTCTAGCACCTAATGTGCATGAAGTGTCACACTTTTTGACATGCTAGGATATATAGTCACCTGTAAAATACTGTGAAAAACCCAGAAAAGTGGTAAAGGATTCAATCTGCATGGTGAATTCACAATTAATAGCTGGGAAAATGACAAAGCCACAGGAGACTTTTCTCCTTTCACATGCCAGTATGCTTTGGGGAAATATTCTGGGTTTATTGTACGTTTTGTTGTTCTGCTTCTAACATATAGTGACCAGATGGTATCTACCTACTTCCCGACTTCCATAATGCTGAATTGCTGTGTAGATACTCGCATTGTTATTTCAGAACAACGGCCGTTATTCCAAAATAATGCTTCTGTGTAGACACACCCTTAGGGAGCTAGACAAGCTTTTGAACCTTGTCCCTCTAATATCCTGGGACTGACACGGGTACAATAATTCTGCATACATTTAAGATGGTCAGTTCTGGAGGACACGTGTTATCAGTGGAACTGAAGGAGAGACCATTCTAACATATGTATTCACAAATGAAGTGCATGTCACCTGACTTTGGCTTACCTTCTCAACATCTGCTTTTGTAACGTTGATGTCAGCATCCATTTTCTCAAAATATTGCTGTGCTCTATCAGCTTCCTTGCAGTCACGTTCAAACCGCCTTTTACTCTGAAAGGGAAAAATGAGCCCATCAGATACTAGAGAAAAAGAGGACTTGAAATTCAACCTAGTAAGCAACATTTGCTAATTTCATTTTCTGTAAACACTGTCAAGAGCTTGGGAACAGTTCATTTACAGCTGAACACATTTCCACGATAAACAGCAAAAGCGTCAAAGTTATCGGAAAGAAAATCTTTGCTCTGATCTTCAGATAGATTGGCTCTGATGGTAAAGCCAGTCTTGATGTCCCATTAGTCCCACAGCCTTTTTCCATATGGGGGCACCTTCTTGCTCTGACCCATCAAATAACTATCCCATCTTCATTTAAATTCCTCACTGCTGATGAGGTCACAATAAATGAGCCAATACTACTTTCATTATTTTGTGTGTCTGGGCACTGGAGGAGGGAATGCTCTATGGGGACCTAGAGGGCCTGGCTAGCCCTTGGCAAGGGACTAAGGCACAGCTGGCCAGGAGGAGGGCCAGAGAACAAACAACTGGCCATAGTGAAAGTCTATAGTGAAAGGCACCGCCCAGGTAGTGGTATGGGTGGTGCCGCTAGGGAGACCTGCAGATGGGGGTTGCGGCATGAGGGAACCCCCAGGAGAGATATTTAAGGGGAGGGGGTGTGGCAGGGTGTTGCCCTGTACTGGCCCTTTAAGGGGCTGAGACCTGGAGTCAGGAGGAAACCCAGCTGGAGGCCATATAGAGCAACTCCTGGGAGGAGGAGACCTGCCTGCCTGCAATGAGAGAGGCTTCGGCCTAGCAAACCCAGGCTACCCAACCTAAGGCTCTAGGGGCTGCAAGGAGGCAGTCATGGAGGATAGAGCTCGCACGGAGGCAGCCCTAAAAGGCCGGGCTGCAAGAAGGCAGCCGCAGTTCGCAAGGAGGCAGCTGCGGTAGGCTGGGGAAGTTTGAGCCAGGGAAGCCCCAGGCCATAAGTCCGCAAGGCAGGGTTGCAGGAGGCAACCGGGCATGCAGAGTGGGAGAAGAACTGGGGGTCCTAGGAGTAGGGAGGACCCTGGAGGAGAAGCGGAGGAAGAACAATGACTCCCCCCTTGAAGGGGGCGCAGACCAAGACCGGAGTAAGAGGGCAGTGCCCTGAAGAGAACACCTCACCCAAAGGGGGTGCGTCGGCATTGGAGCAGACAGTTACTTCCCCAAAAGCCACCCTGAGGGAAGAAGCCGTGAAAGTGAGTCAAACCCGCTACAATATCTTTCAGTATCATTTAGAGACAAGAGTTTTCATGTCATGTTCCTTTGGCTTTCAGACACTCTCTTCAAACCATGTCATAATCACAGTGTTTAGAAACATCCCTATAAAGACATATAGGGACAATATAGCTATAATATCAGTTCTGAAGTTGTTTCCACTTACTGCTTCAAGCTGTTTCCAGCAAGTTTCAATGTACTGTTGTGCCTTTCTTCCATCATGAAAGTACTGTTGAAAAAAAGCCAAAAGTATTATAAAAAAGAATCAACAATCAAATTCGAGGAGGTTTAGAAAAAGACAACAAAACAAAACAAAAAACTTGCATCTGTTCTGTGAGTCTACCAAGCCATACAGGTCTCAGTAGGCCATGGATTTACATCTGCAATAATTAAAGCGGTTTCATAAACAAAGTATAATTAATCCCTTTAGCAATTCCACCTCACAGTTGTTTACTGTAACCCTTAGTTATTGGTTTCCCATCCAACCATCCCCACGTTACTCCCGTCTGAACAGGATCTCTTTAAATAGCAATTGAACACATTTTTCGCAATGTGACACTTTCCCAGCCATGGTCATGACACAGAATCATCCTCCTTGATTGGCACATTCTATCACTTATATTGGACATACATTAACTTATTTTCATTCATGTACAATATGAGCATGTTCTTCTTTCCCTCCGTCTGTGGGACTGACTGTCCTCTTCTGCTCTGTTCTGAGACATGTCCAGTTACTTTGGATTCCTGCAGAAACCTTATTTTTTATGATTTGTTGTCTAAATTAGGCTGCTATAGAAATTTGTGTGTGTGAAATGTCTATTATGGAGCCTATTAAGTGACATACCTTGTTAAAACAGATTAACCCCTTTACAAGAATAGTAGGGTGTAAAGATGTAGTCTATATATCATACCAAGCTCACCAACAGTAATTCTGGGCCACAGAGCAGAACAATCCATAGGACCCCACCCGAGGAAGCCCCCAGCATCCCATACTTGCAAGAAGAGCCCTGGGCTAGCCCAATCCTATCCTATACCTGCTCAGAGGAGCCCCAGGGAAGCCTCATCCTTCCCTCCCTTCCCTATACTCAACCTGCCTGGTGGGGAAAAGCTGCAGCAGTGTCTCTTGATTCAAAGACCACATCTCCACTTGCCATGGCAGAGATCAAACGTCTAGCGTTTAATGGTTCTAGTAAGGACCCACTAAATCAAACACTGACGGTGCCCCTGGTCAGCACCAGTACTCCTATTCCTCACAAGGAGTAAAAGAAGCCAAATGGAGCATTTGCTCTTGTCAACCTTCCACTGTGGAGATGGCGTCAAGCTCAGATTAAGGTATATTGACTCCAGCTACATTATTTATATAGCTGGAATTGTGTACCTTAAGGCGACCTTCTGGGTCTAATATAGATCTGGCCACAGACACTTTTGATATGCAGGTTCTGGGCCCCAGTAACCCCTTAAAAGCCAGCTTCTCACAAGCACCAGCTCCTGGGGAGCTATCTGTCGTCCCCCCCACCCCACACACACATACATGCTGCTGCCTCTGATACAGTGGCAGTAGCACGGGGGGGGCGGAAGGAGGGGGGAAGCCAGTGTTCATGGGGAGCCAGCTTCCCCCACGTGTAACCATGTAACTACTGAATATTTCAGTGGTTACCTGGTTTCTTAATTAAAACACATTTTAACATCCCTACCGCTAACAGGCACAGGCATTGCAACATTATTTTCATTTGGAAATTAAGATATTACAGACAATTTTACAAAGAAATCTCAGTAAGAATATGCCTGATCCTGGCAGATGCTCAGCATTTCCCAACATCAGCTTCAGCGAAAGTTGTGGTATTTTATGTGACCTATTTCATGCAAAACAACAACATAGTCACGTTAGAAAGGATAAAACCTCATGCTTCACTGTAAGAGCCACTAATTAACACGGATAGGAAGAGACTTCTCCTCTAGACAGATTAATACACAAGTGGCCACTTCAAGGTTTCCTGAACCTTCTTCTGAAGCAACAGGTCCTGATCATGGTCTGTGACACAGGATACTGGATTATATATATTGCTGGCTTGATTCAATATGGTAGTTCCTATGTGCCTTTCGGATGCCACCAAAAAAGTCAGCTATTTCCCATGTGGGGCTTAAAATAAGATCCCAAAGACCATTATCATCCCTCCCACGGATCACCTAATAGTATCTAATTGCCACAACTCGGATTAACCTTTAGTAAGGAAAAGAATAAAGACCACTCTGAGGATTCTAAATACCACAGTGTGTAACTCTAAATCTCTCCTTTGGCCTGGCTGCTCATCTGCAGCCAAACATAGCAGCGTGGGACATCATTTATCGCTAACCTAGAATTGTCAAGGTAGAGAAGGGAAAATGGGCGACAATGTCAGTAACACTTTTAATTATGGGTATGTACAGTGTCCAAGTCAGGCTGTTAGAGTTCCATCTATACAGAACACTTGAATGTGAAGCAGCCAAGCCATAAAAGGCAATGCAGCTGAAAAGCTGGCAGAGCTACAGCTCTGAAGAACACAGCCTTTTCCATTTACTCTGATGATACTTGTTGCTATTCTGACCTTTACCCACCACATTTCACTTCTGTGAAAAAAGCACTCACCTCAGTATGACATTATAAAACATGTCATTGTAAACTCCTTGTTGGAAAAAAAACCCACTCTAAACTGATTTAAAGTTCCTTATCTAGAATCAGATTCAGTCAGACTCATTCTCTGATGCTTCAGCTCCTCAGGCTACTAATGAGGTAAGATACAGTTTTCTCCAAAACATGGAATTTGAAATGCTTCTACTTAATTTCATAGGTCTGTTCTCCTGAAATCTACTTAAACAACAACTGTAAATTAACTTTTAATTTTCCGTCGAAGCAACATCTCTTTGACAAAAAGATATGGGGAATAGTATCTCATGCTGAAACTGCAAATGAGACTGATTTCCTTTCTTCACATTACATTTCCTGCCTGTAGCTATCCTTACATAAGAACGGCCATACTGAGTCAGACCGAAGGTCCATCTAGCCCAGTATTCTGTCTGCTGACAGTGGCCAATACCAGATGCCCCAAAGGGAGGGAACACAATGGGTAATCCTCACGTGATCCCTCTCTTGTCATCCATTTCCAGACAAACAGAGGCTAGGGACACCATTCCTACCCATCCTGGCTAGTAGCTGTCAACTCACAGGGCCAGGGCCCAACAGGGATGTAGATTCGCTTCGAGACAGAGTCAATTAGGGATAGTTGCTTTTATTAATCTCACTACATCAGTATTATAGGCTTAATACTACCAGATGGTTACACAGCTACTGCAAAGTAATACATCAATAAGCATAGGCAGAGCAATGCATAAAAGCGAGCAACAGGCACTTGGAAAGGCTTACGCCCCTTCAGTCTGTGGGGAGTCCTGTTCCTTTCACCTCGCACCAGGCCGCAGTGGACATGGCTCCAGCTGGGGGGATCCAGGGCACCCTCCAAGGTCTAGGTCCCTGGTGAGACTCACTGGGCACGAGACTCCCTACACTAGTTACTACAGTTGTTTATGGGTGTGCGCGTACTGGCGCAACACCATTCTTACCACTCTTACGAGCTGAGACCAAGGTCAAACTTGTTTACTACTTAGTAGTTTCCCAGCTCAAGGCATGGGTTAAAGCTGATAAAGCCCAGCTGCTGTTTGCGCTTGCAGGGTCCCAAGCTATACTAACCTGGGCACAGCAGGGATGGAAACTTCCATCCCAGCCCTCCTAAGCTGCAGGACCGACATATGACTTTTTATGTGACTGTAGCCATTGATGGACCTGACCTCCATGAATCTATCTAGCTCTTTTTTGAACCCCGTTTAAGTCCTAGTCTTCACCACATCTTCTGGCAAGGAGTTCCACAGGTTGACCATGCGCTGAGTGAAGAAAAAATTCCTTTTGTTTTAAACCTGCTGCCTATTAATTTCATTTGGTGACCCCTAGTTCTTATATTGTGGGAATAAGTAAATAACTTTTTCTTATTCATTTTTTCCACACCAGTCATGATTTATAGACCTCTATCATATCTCCACTTAATCGCCTCTTTTTTAAGCCAAAAAGTCCAAATCTTTTTAATCTCTCTTCATATGGGACCCATTCCAAACCCCTAATCATTTTTGTTGCCCTTTTCTTAACCTTTTCCAGTGCCGATATATCTTTTTTGAGATGAGGCGACCACATCTGTATGCAGTATTCAAGATGTGGGTGTATCATGGTTTTATATAGAGGCAATAAGATATTCTCTGTCTTATTTTCTATCCCTTTTTTAGTGATGCCTAACATTCTATTTGCTTTTTTGACTGCCGCTGCACACTGAGTGGATGTTTTCAGAGAACTATCCACAATGACTCCAAGCTCTCTCTCTTGAGTAGCTGTACTTAAATTAGTCCCCATCATATTGTATGTATACTTGGGATTATTTTTTCCAATGTGCATTACTTTACATTTATCAAAATTAAATTTCATTTGCCATTTTGTTGCCCAATCACTTAGTTTGGTGAGATGTTTTTGAAGCTATTCAAAGTCTGCTTTGGTCTTAATTATCTTGAGCAGTTTGGTATCATCTGTAAATTTTGCCATCTCACTGTTTACCCCTTTCTCTTGATCATTTATAAATAAGTTGAATAAGATGGATCCCAGGACAGACCCTTGGGGGACCCAACTAGTTACCTTTCTCTACTCTGAAAACTAATAATTTATTCCTATCCTTTGTTTCCTGTCTTTTAACCAGTTATCAGTCCATGAGAGGACCTTCCCTCTTATCCCATAACAACTTATTTTACTTAAAAGCCTTTGGTGAGGGACCTTGTCAAAGGCTTTCTAGAGATCTAGCCACTAAATCCCCCCTGTACACATATTTGTTGACCCTCTCAAAGAACTCTAGGGCTGTGTCTAGACTACATCCCTTTCTCGAAAAAGGGATGTATATCAGACACTTCGAAATTGCAAATGAAGCTGGGATTTAAATTTCCCACGCTGCTTTTGCATAATGGCGGCCATGGGGGGGGGTTTTTTTCGACACAGGGCTTTTTGATAGAAAAACAGCAGTTTAGACCGGGATCTTTCGAAAATAAAACCCTTTTTTGAAAGATCCTGTACTCCTCAAAAAATGAGGCTTTTCTATCTTTTGGGCACACAGCGAATGACAATTCAGAAAACCATGTGGAACATCAGCACTTTAATTATTCACACAA